GTTGCTGTTTTTGTAAATCCAACATTGTGTCTGCGATTTAACTAAACGCGTTTCTTCTTACCGCATATGAGTTAATTGCCTTTCCCGCTTTGCCGTTGGCGATGTGCGGCCCGAAAACAAATAAGAGAAACACACCCAGGACGACGCTCTTGCAGCCATCACGGACTCGTCTCTGCGACATCGCTGCCCTGGAACCAGAGCCATCAACTTCGAATCGAATCCATCGGCACGGTGTTTGAAAATGCCCTGAATTTTCAGACCCAACTAGTAGAGTACCGTAGAACGGGGTAATATGAGACATGAAGGAAAATCGAGACAAAGCGCCCTGTTTTTGGTTTTTGTCGTGTTGCTCTAAGCAGTTGTTCAGAAGACCATCGTGAATTTTTTTTTCGTGATCTAGGAGGCCTTGGCAGCTCACAGGAAACGCACGAAGGCAATCGGAGACTCGCCAGGATTATTAAGAACCAAAAGAAAATCCTCTAAATTCTGACAAGTTTTATAAAGTTCGTAAAAACCTCCCCAGAAACCTCGGTTGGAACTCGGGTTCTCGTCCGAACGAGGTTTAAATCTGTAGACAATCATGTCAACATAATCAGGACAAAATTTGGTTCTGTTATCGAGGGGTCCTATTCAAAAGATCTTATCTGGGCGTTACCCCCAAGACAATCTTATCTTGAACGCAGGCAAATTTTACTCACTTTGACCCTTTGGGACGGGTACGAGAGTAAGCGGAATATATTTCTGCATGCACTATATGTTTCTTTCATCTTTCATCTTCACATTTCAGTGAATTTAATCACAAATTATATCGATTTGTAGCTGTATCAAATGATCAAACTGAGTGCAATTTGCCTGCGTTTAAGATAAGATTGTCTTGGGGGGAACGCCCAGATAAGATCTTTTGAATAGGACCCCTCGTTATGTCTACTCCCGGGCCACATGTTCCAGATGGAGTACAATTTTGTTACCTTGCATGGAAAATAGAGACACCTCTTTTCGTTTCAAACATGAGGCCAAACATACTCCACTGTTATTAATTTCAAGTAATAATGATTTTAACACGAATTGGTTTTACTACCTGACCGGCATCTATGCTCTTCGATTAGTATTTTCATGTGACAGGCACAACTCATGACTTCTTAGACATTTTTCAGCTCTCTTTAGTGACACCCATTTTTCTTCCCTCCAGATTTTACCTCCTCTTCATTATGGACCCTAATCATCTTAAAAATGAATGAAAAGAACTTAATAAGCTCCAAACCCGCCTAAATGAGTTAATTTTCCATACTTCTTTACCATTTTTCTCTTTTGTCTCATATTACCCCACATTGCAGGGAAATATGGGACGGCATTCCGAGGGTTATTGAAAGGTCCCTACTGCACCTAAAAATCTGAAATTTGGAGGGAGTGTAGCCAAAGGGTTAATGAACAAGTGATGAACACCTCAGCACCTCAAGTTGAAATTAAAAGGGGGAAATTTACAAAAAACCTCGAAATTTGTCTCATATTACCCCGTTCTACGGTACTTATGAGAAGAGCTAGACCAGAAGTTGAAAAGAAGTCAGGAAGGACAAAACCGAGACTAGGAGTGAGAGTCTGTTAAAATAAATTTAAAAATCCCGGGGGTACGTTTGGAAGCTCAGGGCATATTGCCGGAGACCGTGTTTTGCAGAGTGTTCGTTTCTAAGGAGGGCTTACGTGAGGTTTGGAGGGCCCTCCCGAAAATGCACTTCAAATCCAAGTGTGAGACGACAGTCTCGCACCATTTAGCGAGAACCAATACGTCTCACGCTTACGAGTGTGAACCACGTGTGCCTTACCCTTGGTGTGAGATACAGTTTTTCTCAAACCCTCAGGGAACCATGGGCAGCAAAGGTGGGCCAAACCGTTTCTCACCCATTTGGCCCACGCTAAATTGTGCGTGAGACAATCCTTTGTCACGCCCATGCGCACTAAGTAAAGGACCTTTGATGAAAATGGCGGGAATTGTCATAAATTCGTTATCAAATTGTCCTCATTTTAAAGTTATAGGAATTTCGTGTTGTATTTGTTGACAACAAATTCTCCTAGTAGAGCCTTACTGTGGAGCAGTTGGGAATACTCTACAAACTCAAGTGTGTAAATAGTACACCCCACCTGGAGTGTATATGCATGTACACTTCAACCTGGAGTGAACTTAGCATGTACACTTCAACCTGGAGTGTACTTGGCATGTCCACTCCAACCTGGAGTGTACTTGGCATGTCCACTCCAGGTTGGCGTGTACCGTAGAACGGGGTAATATGAGACAAATTTCGAGGTTTTTTGTGAATTTCCCCCTTTCAATTTCAATTTGAGGTACTGAGGTGTTCATCACTTGTTCATTGACCCTTCGGCTACACTCGCACCAAATTTCAGATTTTTAGGTGCAGTAGGGACCTTTCAATAACCCTCGGAATGCCGTCCCATATTTCCCTGCAATGTGGGGTAATATGAGACAAAAGAAAGAAATGTTAAAGAAGTATGGATAATTAAATCATTTAGGCGGGTTTGGAGCTTTTTAAGTTCTTTTCATTCATTGTGAAGATGGTTGGAAACTATAATGGAGACGATATAAAATCTGGAGGGGACAAAAATGGGTGTCACTAAAGAGAGCCGAAAAATGTATAAGAAGTCATGAGTTGTGCCTGTCACATGAAAATACTAAACGAAGAGCATAGATGCCGGTCAGATAGTAAAACAAATTCGTGTTAAAATCATTACTACTTGAAATTATTAACAGTGGAGTATGTTTGGCCTCATGTTTCAAGCGAAAAGAGGTGTCTCTATTTTCCCTGCAAGGTAACAAAATTGAATTCCATCTGGAACAGGCAGCCCGAGAGTATACATAACGGAACCAAATTTTGTCCTGATTATGGCGCGGGATCACCCCCGGGAGGTGCAACGTTGGGGCCGCGCGGGTCCGGCCCCCGCGCGGGGTATAGCCAGGGCTGCTTTGGTCAATACTCCCCTCTCATCTCCTTTGCTAAAAGTGTGGCACTTTCCCGAGAGATAGCACCACTGTCAGCTACTTGCAAAAAAAAAATGAGGACCAAATCCAGGTGACAAAGTCCCATCCTCCACGTGCATTTTCTTATTGTCAGCGCAGCCCGTTTTGGCAGTGTAGACGCCGAGGCAGCCGAGACGATCTCCGTCACCCTCGTCAAAGTGCACAAAGACGGCTTGACAGGTGGCCCTCTGAGGGCGTGCAGCAACGAACTCTTTCTTCAAATTTTCGAATTCGAACATGTTTTAGCTGTGTTCCTTGTTTCATTGCGGTTTCGGCAGTATAAAACTTTACCCAAATAGAGGAAAATTGCATGCTCGCCTCCCTGCCCCCAACCGAAAAGTGGGCCGTCTGGGGCTGCCCCAGTGGCCAAGCACGCTGCCGGTCCTCGCCTCCGAATCCTGGCGACTGCAGCGGGGGGAGGGGAGGGGGCACACGCGTCGGAGTCAATAAATCGGAATGCAGCCAGGTGTCCATCACAAACTTGTCTCGCCGCACCGGCCAACGTCCGTGCAGTTCCGAAAACCTCCGCCGCGCCACCTCTCAGAGCGCCACGAGCCGACCGCCAAATTCAAAAGGAGAAAAGGAGGGGAAAAACAGTGCTTTTTTCGTGCAGCTCACCCTCAGAAAGTATCGATACCACAAAAAAAACTGAAGGTAGATTTGTGTAGGGGAAAGACGTGCGCACACGTTGTGGTTCCTCTGGGAACGAAATTCCAGGGGCATGTCTGTCAAATCTGGAGTTGAACTTTGACCCAATTTTGGCCCAACTTTGACCAACTTTTTGGACTACAAAGAGCTTCGCCCCGAACTTCGGAGGTACCACAACGGATAGGCGCTCATTTTTACTGCCGGAATATGTTTTTAGTTTTGGTCTACGTTTCGTACTTTTGGTGGGTGAGCTGCACGAACATTGAACAGTTCAACGCTCAATATCTCTGTTCAAATTTGAACCAGCGCCAAAAAAATTTGTAGGGTGCATCAGAAGTGTGTTCCGAACACGTGTTCAAAATTTGAGCCCAATCCGTTAACTTCAGTTTTAGGTGATCCCGCGCCTTATGTTGACATAATTGCCTACAGATTTAAACCTCGTTAGGACGAGAACCCAAGTTCCAACCGAGGTTTCAGGGGAGGTTTTTACTAACTTTATAAAACTTGTTAAAATTAAGAGGTTTTTCCTTGGGTTCTAAATAATCCTGGCGAGTCTCTGGTAGCCTTCGTGCGTTTCCTGTGAGCTGCCACGGCCTCCTAGATCACGAAAAAAAATTCACGGTGGTCTTCTGAACAACCGCTAGAGAGCAACACGACAAAAACCGAAAAAAGTGCGCTTTGTCTCGATTTTCCTTCATGTCTCATATTACCCCGTTCTACGGTAACTTCAGGTACACTGATGCTGGCTCCCTGCTGCAGGTATGAGCCACCTGGCATGTCCTTGGCAAGTACACGCCAACCTGGAGTATACATGCCAAGTACACTCCAGGGTGAAGTGTACATGCTATGTACACTCCAGGTTGGTGAACATGCATGTATACTCCAGGTGGAGTGTACTTTGTACACACTTGAGTTTGTAGAGTAAACACCCATGAGCATTGGGGGCTCTTGGCGGAAATGTGAATGTGAACCGTCCACTGCCGAGCGATCACTGTAAAAGAAGTCTTACAGAAATTTCACAATTTTAGTCTGAAGTTTTTAAACAGACTAGTGGTCTGAAAATTCAGATAAATTATTCTGACCATTCTCTCTGAATTCAAATCGAATAACACTTTCAGACCGCTACTCTGAAATATTAAATAAAAGTGTCACCCAGAAATGAAAGAAAGAGAACAATATGAATCGATATCAAATGACGGTCCCTAGTTCCCACTTTTTCTTGTTCGCTCCAGCCCTGGTTCGAACCGGGAACCGGGACTTTTCGGTTGCGAGCTAAGCCCGGTACCACTGCGCAACGACGCTGCCCGGCGGCTGGGGAATCCGTGCCACGTGACTCTCTGCAGAGGATACCAGCTCCTTCTGGCAAGTCCGGAATGCAAGTTCGGGCAACTCTTACCGTTATCTAATTGTACATACATGAATCTGGGTGAAACACGGGTAAACATCATTAATTCCGATTACGCATGGACTTAATTGGTAGACAATCTGTCAAAATTTTCTACCGAAATTATTATCGCGTGGAATAAATTAACAGCACTGTTAAAAAAAATTTCTTAAAATTCAGACTAAATAGTCAAAAGCAGATTTTCATAACGTTGGTCTGAACATTCAGAGTAAGAATTGCTCCGAAAAATAAGACTGCGAAAATCTGAAATTTTTGACTTCGTTAGTCTGATAATTTAGACAAGAGAATAGTCTGAAAATTCAGACCGCAAAATTTTTTAATCGTAAGAGCTTCCCAAATCAAAATTTTCTTCGTCGGTCTAATCAGTAAACCTTTCCTCTGAGAGAATGGCGCCCCGAACTGTACCGAAACTTGGTACTGCCACTGCGACTCGAACCCCGGACCTCCGGGTTACGAGGCAGCCACCTTACCCACTAAGCCGTGTGGCGCTTGTGGGCTGCGAGGAGCGTCGAGCCGAGTACATGCTGCGACTCGGCGCAGCCGTCCGACAGGGGTCCTGACGGTCCATACCGAAGTTACTCATCGGTTTTCAAGTAATCCACATACCATTATTAAATGTTGTGTTTGACGACATGATTTTGACTTCAGAAATACAGAGATTACAAATTGTATTCAGACCAGGCGATAAAAAATTTGGACTGCGGTCTGAATCTACAAGAAAGACCAAGGATTTCTGAAAACTAAGAGCATCAATTGTGAATTTTCATCTCCTCGGTCTGAAAACGCATTTCAGACCGTGCAACCCAAAAAATTTATACTAAAAGTCTGAATTTTAAGACTTGAGTCTGAATTCCCATTTCAGAGTAGGAAGTCTGAAAAAAATGGTCTGAATTTTCAGACTTTTTTTAACAGTGAGAGAAATGATGCGAAAGGCACATTAGACGTACCAGGACAGAACCGTGCGCAGACAGCTGTGCTATCCAAATGGACAGCTGGATGATAACAATGAGCAACCTCCCAAAGCGGATGGCATTAACCCCAGCTGCCACTCAAACGTCCACTAACATCGATGGCATCGGGAAGTGACGCGAAAGAGAGACAGAGGCATTTGCCACAACAACAAAGAAGCGCATGCTATGTCTATCACTGTCACTATTGCGTGTGGTGTATGCAGAAATTTAGTAAGATGGTATGTCCCCCTCTATTTGAGATCACAATTACATTATTGTTACTTGCAAAAGAAGTTGTTATAAAACAAAAGTGTTGTTTCTGGATGGGTTCCACGTTCAGACACAAAACAATACTGTTGTTTTTTAACAGCATTACTGTAGGTGATTCTGTTGTAATATTACAGGTTTGTGTCTCTTACTTTCAAATGTGGGACAGACCGAGTCTCATACTTGTCAGCGTGGGAAAAACGTGGCTCGCTTTTAAATGTCACACACATTGGAGTTCACGTCAAATTGTGTAAAGCTGTCTCCAACTTGAATTAGCAGTGTGAATGTCTGGGCCGTACCTTAATTTTTATCCGCATTAAGGCAGAATGTATAGACTCCTACTTCGACTTTTTTTGGGCCTTAAGTAGTTTTGGCCCGTCCCGTTTCCTTTTTGTAAAAAAAATGACGGAGGGACGGGCATATAGTATGATACCTGCTGTGCGTGCGTCCGTCCGTCCGTCCGTCCGAGGACATCCCGTGGTCCGATCTTCACCAAATTTGGTATGCAGCCTCCTTAGGTGATCCTAAGAACCGCCCGGTGGCAGCAAATCCGATCCGAGCCCCGGGGGCGCTGCTGCAGGTGCATCATGGTCTACATGGGGTCGAAGAGAATTTCGGCAACGGATACAGCTAGGAGGGCATCTAGGGGTATTTTTGGACACTCTACAAAAAATGTCCTGTCAACGCCGTTTATTTATTACCAATGTTTGCTGTTATGCAATTCACGGCGTTTGCTGTGAACTAGTTCACGGCGTTCACTGTGATCTCGGTTACAGTGTTCACTGTGATCTGGCCACAGTAAACGCCGTGAATTGGAGCCTGATTTGCAGTACTTCTGTGCTTAGCGGCGTCAAACTCACAGTGTTTACTGGGGACCAGATCACAGTGAACACCGCGAACAAGATCACAGTGAATCCCGTGAGCAGATCACAGTAAACGCTGTGAATTGACCTACAGTGAAAACTGGTAATAAATTAACGGCATTTACAGGACATTTTTGGTAGAGTGGAATCGGGGCGACCAAACAAAACCAACGGTGCCAGTTTCAAGCGAATCGGAGAGGTTTGGACCCGGGTTCAAATCCCAGTGGGGTATAGTTTGAACATTCTTTCTATGCAAATTTTTGCATTGTTTCTGATGTTTTTGAGGGCGCTGATGACGAAAATAACATTTATTTCGACCGCAGACTCAGGTTCAAACCCCGTCAGGGTTAAACAAAGGCGAAATTCGCACATTCCCTGATGAACGGGACGGGCCAAAGTTGCCGATGTATATCGCTACTTTTCCTTTTTTTTGGGGGGGGGGGGCATTTTGGATCAAAAATCGCTAGGACGCTTCGTTTAGCGGGAAACCGGGATCGAATTAAGAGAAAAGGCTGGAAAATTGGTTAACAACCAATTTTCCACCCTTTTCTGTTAATGGAACCCCGCACTACACTGACAAAAAATGTGTCCTTAGCGACGCATTTATCGCTAATTTTTGGCTGAGCGATAGCGAAGCCCGTTACTCCATTGGGGTTGAAAAGTTTTGTCTGTCTGTCTGTGTGTCTGTCTGTCTGTGTGTGTACACTACTCCTCCTGAACGGCTCGGCCGATCTCGGTGAGATTTTGCACACTTTTTGGGCATGTCCTTGGCTCGGCACACGCGAAATTTCACTATCCTAGCTCAACTAGTTCAGTTTTTATAGCCGAAAAACACCTAAAAAAATCTCATTCAACGAACGTTAATGAAAGCAGATGATACTCGTTTGGTTTTCTTCTAAGTAGTTGTTCGGGATTAATTGTGTAAGAAATAAAATAGATAGCCCAATAAATAGACCTAAGCGAGCTGGGAGCTGGCCAGTGGTGCGAGCCGAGCTGTGGTTTGCGCTTGCATCCGCTTGCACCCTGCACCGATGCACCGCGCCCCGAGCTATGCCGAGCCTAGAGGCATTGTTGCTGTTATGTGCGCTGTACCCGGGGAGAGACTGTGCGAGAGGAGGCAGGGCATTGTTGGCCGGTGCCGCTCGCGCTGTACCTGGAAGGGATTGTCGATGTTCCGCGCAGACTGCCTGCCATGCGACACTCACGATCCCGCCCGGCAGCCACCACCCTAATATTATTGTTAGGATGCCGCTTGATTTCTGGATTTGGGAGTAAAAGCACGCTGCCACCTTTATGTGTCTAATAGTTTTAGATATGTTTCAAGTGTAGTAAAGGTATCATCTGCTAAAAAGGCGAAAAATCGAGTTTTCTGCAGGCAAATCACTGCTGCCTTGAAGAAAGAAGGGTCTGGGGGGCAGAGACCCCAGCCCGGAAAAGTTAAAAAGTTACAAGCGATCTAGAATGAAGGGGGGTCTGAGGGGCGGAGCCCCCCAGCATGCAACAAGTCAGAAGTAACCGACGATGGACATGCTATTGCCTGCCAAAGGCAGGCTAGCGCCGCAGGCCAAGGTAGGTACGCCAGGCGTGGATTGGAGGAACAAGCAGCGAGATATCGCGAAGCCTGTTACGACAAGACGCGGCCTGGCGTAAACCTACCTTGTAATGTCTGGGACAAGTATTCATGGAGTACTTATGTCGCTAAATTTATTGACTGAGCGATAGCGAAGCCAGTTACTCAGGTGGGGTTGAAAAGTTTTTCCTGTCTGCCTGCGTGCGTGCGTGCGTGCGTGTCCGCACTACTCCTCCTGAACGGCTCGGCCGATTTTGGCGAGATTTTGCACACTGTTTAGGTATGTCCTTGGCTCGGCACACGCGAAATTTCACCATCCTAGCTCAACTGGTTCAGTTTTTATAGCCGAAAAACACATAAAAAACGGCGAAAAATCCGAGTTTTCCGCAGGCAGATCACTTCTGTCTCCAAGAGAGGGGGTCTGGGGGGCGGAGCCCCCCAGCCTCAACAAGTTAAAAAATTCCAAGAGTCAAGATCGAGTTATCTGCAGATGAAGCAACTCTAACTAGAATTAAGGGGGGTCTGGGGGGCTCCGCCCCTCAGAATCACTGTGGCAAAAAGCTACGGAAAATCCTGTAAACAGCTTGTGGTATTCTCCGTAGGCCCTTATCATATTCTCCGTAGGCTCTTACAGTATTCGTAGGACGCACAGTATTCTCCGTAGGACCGCACAGGATCTCCGAGGCTATACAGTCTTCGAGGTCCTACGGAGAAGACTGTCGGATTTACAGAGAATACTGGCGGCTACGAGAATACTGTAAGCAGCCTACGGAGAATGATAAGGGCTACGGAGATCTGGAAAAATACAGGATTTTCCGTACCTTTTTGCCACAGTGATGAAACGAGTTAAAAGTAACCGACGACGGACAAGCCATTGACTGCCGAAGGCAGGCTAGCGCCGCAGGCCAAGGTAGGTACGCCAGGCGCGGATTGGAGGAAAAGGCAGCGAGACATCGCGAAGCCTGTTACGACAAGACGCGGTCTGGCGTAAACCTACCTTGTTTTGACTAGTTCTTTTTTTTTATAATAGTAATGTTGCTATGACTAAAGAAGACCAATAGATGATCATTCATAACATGCTTTAATTGAGCAGATAATTGCAAAATATGTTGTTTCCACACAAATTGTATCGTTAAGAGTGATAACAAGAATTTTGTTCTTCAACGACAAATTGTCGCTTACAAGATTCAACGACATTTCTTTCGCTTTGGTTCCTGATAAAACTCATTGGTTTGGAACGACTAAATTTTCACTCATCTGATTGTTTCTATACAACCATTTTTTAACAGTGCAGATTTCCTGAAAATATAAGAGGTGTCACACCAAAATGTAAAAAAAAAAAATACGATTTCAAGAAATCCTAGGAGTCACGAAGTCAATTTGATTAAGAGAGTGGAGAAAGAAAAGAAGTGGCGTTGTGAAGTTGTGGCTCAGGGGACTACCAATGGCAGTGGTACCAATGTGGTCGATGTGCCACCCGTCGAAATTTAAACTTCACAATGAATAGAAATCAAAATGCTGGTAAATTCAAAAAATTCCAATGCTAATGTATTCCGCAGTGTTCTGACAATGGAACATCTTTAAAGTCCATCATTATTAAAATGTTCTTAGCAGAAAGAAGGCAGTAAATAAATTTTCACGGGTAGGCAAAAATCTTCTCGGCGTCTACGCCCTTGCGAAAATCGCGAAGCTGAAAGCACCAGCAGTCGCGCATTAAAACTGCCCCTCCATTGTTGCTGACGTTGAATTGTTTGGCTTGTTTCAAAAGGCTATGGTTCTCTAGTAATGTTTTCTTCAATTCTGTGTAATATTTCTCACTCACAACGAATCAACACCACGACGGTTGGTTTGACAAACTTCATAAACTCGGGAGGGAAGGTTTCGAAACGCGGGTGAGTCTTGTTCGAGGAACACGAGCACTGCAAGTCGCGAGGTGGAGCGAAGTGGTCCTAGTGCTAACTGAATCACAACAACAACAAAATTGTTTTATTGACAGAAAAAAAAGTAATATTTGAGAAACTTTATGTTGGAAAAAAAGAACTTTTGTTTCGCTAATTTTTTGTGAATATTTTTTTAGAAAGTTATCACATAAAAATTGAAAATTTGTTTTATATAAATTTTCAAAAGCAGGAAACAAAGAAAAACAAAAAAGAGAGCAAAATTAATACAGATTTCAAATGTTACAGTTGGTCAAACTGTTAAACAGGTTGCAAACCTTCTGCGCATGTCCAAACACACTCCGATCAAGAAGTATTATTGGATAGTTCTACCCGAAAAACTGCGTTCGAACCGACACCAATTCTATTGTTGCATCTTGTCTACCTGCAGTCAAAGAAATTTTTCATTTCGAACGTGCCATTTCATCTTTTGGAGTAAGCTGTATAGACCCAAAATGAAGCTCGGCTTTTGGTCCGCCCCGGCTCGGCTCCCCCCACTCACCACACCGCCCCATGCGAACGCCGGATTGGAGAGTACTCACATAGCCGGTATGTCCCCAAGCAGAGTCGCAACAGCAGATTACACTGGGGGCCAGAAAACGCAAGAAGAGAAGTATCGGAGGATCCATTGCTGACACCAAATTCTTCACCCAAGCTCTTCACAGGAAGCGGCGAAGGCGAAAGCACGCCGAAAACGAGGACACGAGAGCACACAATGGCTGCTGAACGCCGGCGGCGAGCTCGCGGAGGGACGCCGGCGGCGAGCTCGCGGAGGGACGCCAACGCGACCGGCCAATCGAGACGCAAGAATACGTCAGCTGACCCGAACGGCCAATCACAGAGCTGCGCCGACGCGCAGAGTATCGCCGGACGCAAGCGCGCGCACAGCAGTTACACACAAGGAGTGTCGCCAGTCGCAAAACTTAAACAATTACCACAACAAACATTGACTGTACAAATACAAAAGAAGTAAAACTGTTAAAGATGCTTCGCATTTCCTTCATTCGAAGAGGAGTGAGAGTACAAGTATAGTTTAGCAGCTGACAAATCTAATTCACAGAACCACTGTCGACTTGGC